AACGAGATGATGACTTGACAAAATGGCTAGGTATATGAAAATAGAAATCTAAATTATATGGGTGATTTGCTAAAGTTACATTAGTTAAGAGATTTTTTTTTATGAAGTTACTTTACTTTAATAACTTTGTTATTGGCTAACCAAATTTTCTTGCTATCGATGTTAGGGTGTTACATTAGATGGTTTTCTTTTATTTATTTTATATTCATACTTTAAGCACAAACTGCATATTGGCGAGCTGTCGGAGGAATTTCAGGCAGATACAGAGAGACATGATGGGTGCAACAACACAAAGCAACCTTTAAGAAAATTTAAGTTTTCTTACTTATTAATTCTTATTCACTTTCAGACATTCATCCTTGCCTTTTTCTGTGGTTACGCTTTTTTTGGTAAGGAATGCACATTAAACTAATGTCTAAATCTGATAATTTTGCTAATTTTAAAATATACGACTTTTTATTGCTATGAGGGGTGGCACGCGACTCGATCACAAAGAATAAGTCCTTATTTTAATTTGGGGGTTTATTCGCAATCCTCAATTTGGTTTTTTGGGACTATTGTGATTTTTTTTCCTTTTTTTGTATGGTCAACGAGGGGTCAGTTTTTTAGACGTGCCCCTGCTGATTACTGCCGTAGAGATTGATTGACAGGCAACGGTCACTCGCAAATTGCCATCTGCATTTACGTCAAAATAATAAAAATAATACTTAGTGAATTTGGGAAAAAGGGACATGTAGCGGTATTATATTTCAGTAAGTATCTTTATCTGTAATACGTGAAAATTGTTGAACACAAACCCTGTTTTAAGAAGATACTAAAATGAAAAGAACTTAACTAGTAAATAATAACTATTAACTGCAAATAGGGTACAAAAGCATAAGAATATCTCATTATTTGGCTGCCTGCTGGTTGCTTAGTCATAAACCTCAAGAGGAAACTACATAATAATATATTAACAGTATAGTAAAAGAAAATCTAAAAAAACATCCAAATTGATATATTTAATCACTGTAAGCTTCACTTGAAATATTTCCGTCGGGCATAAAATTGCCACTTGATACAGTAAGTACAAATGTCATGTTGAGATATTTTATTATTTATTTATATTTCTATTTTATTGTATCGGTTCTCATTATCGGGCGCAATGTGCCCATTGTCCACAAAATTCACAGTGACACGCGTCCGATATTTTTTGTCACATTCGTTTTTTTTCACAGCTAATATTTTTGCATTAATGGATAAAAAACCTTCCCCTATTTACAAATAACAGGGACCTTTAATCCGAACGCTTATTAAAAATAAATATTTCATGAAACATTATGATGATGTGATAGATTTTATGGTGGCGTTTTTTGGTATTGTTATGCATTTATGTTTTAATAGATGTGATATATTTCCCACAAATTGCTGGCTGATTAGCTTGGATTTATAGTACATACCAGTGATATTTTAACAGGATCGTAATCGGGTTACATCAAATTTATTTCGGTTGCTTCAGTTATTCCATAATATTTATTAAACGTCGAATAGATCGAGTTTGTTTTTTGAAAGTATTAAGACTTTAATGTCTTTAAAGTTAGACAAACCAAATTTATAACTTTTAACCTCCTAGTTAACTTTATTTTATATCAAATGCTGAAACTAAGAGCTCTAAATATAATTATTAACACAATATAACTAACAATTGACAACTTAGTTGAAATCTGCAAACGATTGAAATGTGCATATCAAATCGCATAATATTGATTTTGGCGAAATGTGTTAGAAAAAAATTGGAGCATTGACGTACGCGCGCCTAGGCGTCGTGTGGGTCAGGTAATGGTGTAGGGCAACCATATTTTATGTTGCATCGGATATTTTCCAGGACGAACTTGTAAAATTAGTTTCCAATATCAAATAATATACTAAATAAAATGTGTGGTAATTAGTGTCAATCATCTTGAACTTTTAGTTTTTTTTAGAAATTTAAAGCCCAAGAAGTGCATGATGACGAAGGTGTCTTACATGAAAACAGTATTATAATCTATAATACTTACTTATGTACTAATAGTATAAACAGGAAAAATTTGTAAGTTTGTATGTGTAATCTTTGGACTCGGTGGTTGGATTTCCAGAATTCTTGCTCTGATAGATAGCTACAATGTTTCTGAGTGTCATATATTATACTTTATTTGCATATCTTTGGTTGAACTACCGCAGTTATTACTTTCTTAAGTGCGAAAGCCGCAATCGGAAGCTAGTAAACAATATAACACTAAAATATGCCTTAAATTGAAAACTCGAGTACAAAAGACTTAAACGCATTTTATAAACACTCTTTGTAACTACATGCTTTTATAGAGTAAGATTGAAAATGGTCTCTGATACCCCAAAGTATGGTATTCATAGTCGGCATTGTGTCCACGAGCTGACCAGCAGATGTGCGGCCGGCTGTTTGTATTCACTCGTCGCTCTGCGCATGCGTGCCCTCCGCCAAACTTTCGCAAATATGGCCGCCGACCATCTCTCTTATTTAAACTATTTTTATTTTTTCTAACTAACATTTAACATCGTATAAGTTGGCTTATTAATATCGAAATTAAATCTAAAGCAGCTTGAGCAATAGAACAGAATTTGATAAGATTGGTTAGATATGATTTTGATTTTCGAGTTTTTTTGTACGCAAAGGCTACAGACACATATATTTTTTTTAATTAAAAAAATATTAAGTTGTGCCTAAGTGTACATAGTTGTCACTAGATTATACGAAGTTGATATAATTTTAATAAAATGTTTTAATTGAAAAGGACTTATGTTTTAGTTATTTTTGCTTATAGTTAGGTATTTAATAGTATTTAATATAGTTAGTTAATTAAACGAACTCTCCATAAAAACACTATTTTGATAAAATACTAACACTATTTTAATAGCATATGGTTGATTGTATTATTAACAGAAACGACGGCAACGTTGCAAAAAAGTTAGGTAAGTATACTTACATTACTCTTCTGTAAAAAAGGATCAAAAATCCTTCTTAAAATGTATTGTCAGTGTTAGGCTTTTTGGAAAGATTTTGAAAACATGAAGTAACTTGTAGAAATCTTTAGAATTGTTTTTTTAACATCGAATTTCATCTTTACGTCAGTATTAGTGTTTATGTTATATAAGACAAAGATAGATTTACTTAACATTAAAACGTATTATATTAATTAATATTTCTATAATATATAATATTATTTTCATTTTAGAGACGTAAAATAATAAAGCAGGATGCAGAATAAAAATGTAAAAAAATACAATACTATTCACTGCGCGCGTACTAATCAGGATGTTACGACCGCAAGATAAAGCTTAAATTGATTTGAAACTTTAACTAAACATTATTTAAATCTATTTTTATTAAATTCTCGAACAATATATTTCACAAATATCAACAAACTGTTACTATTGTATTTACTTGTAGTAAATATAGGCAGCATCCCCCGTCCATGCGCGTCACCCCAAATCAAAACGGTCGACGCAGTCTTTCGGTAATCGTCACGCGGGTAGCAACTCTAGCATGTATACCACTCTAATTTCACAATTACGACATTATAAAAAACCTAATAAATATTTCTTGGAATCAATAAACTGGGTCTAAAAGACTGCGGCGCGCTCACTCTTCCTTTTCTTCCTTTGTCGCGAACAAGTGTGGTGTGATTGTGTGTGTTTTTATTGAATTATGTTTGACATTAAAAAAGGTCTATGTATGAATATTTTTTAAGTAGCAGTGCGTATGTGATACGTTTGTTTGGGGTTTCTCTTTAGAGGGGCGGCACGCGGCGTACATGAAGGGTGAGACTTTATATGCCTACTTGCTTGAGAACCAGTATGTTGAAACTCAAAATGAGATTCATCATATAAATTCCAATATTTAATGTATTGAAACAAAGATACGTTATTAACAATATCCAATAATAATCTTATTAGAATTGGGTTTAAACATTATTGTCAAATTGTAAGCGAATTAAAAGATTAGATTTGAATTCAATATTTTTTTATTTCTGTTCAAAGGGTTAGTGTTGCGAGGACGTTCAATTGTAGAACACATTAGATAAATTGATTCCCTCTCTGTTGTTTACTTAGTTATTACAATTTTTATAATACAACGAGATAGGATACTGGACTAAGAAAACAAAGAAACAATACTGAAAACAATTGTTTGAGCTTTTATTATCACCATCTGTGTAGTGAAAAGTGTATGAAAAATAAAATATTAACTATTTTTAACACCCGCAGTTCGGCTTGTGTCTGTTGTATAAATACGTCTATATATCCTAATTATTGTGTAGGCTTTTTAAATCTCCATTATATCAAATATTTTTATACCTTTAATGTAAATAAGTCACATTTCTAATAAGAAAATCTTTCCAATAGGAACTCTTTGGATTTCAATAGCAATAATTTAAAACTATACCTAAGTAACTTGGAATATCAGGCCTCGATGTTCTTTTACTTTCGTGAGCAGATAAAATATAATCATATATTATATAAAGTAATATATAGTGGCAAAAACACAGTTAACAAGTCGCTTTATTTATAATAGTCGTAAAAATATTGTTAGAACTTAAATATTAATAGCAAAGCCTGCAATATGGTAAACACTTAGATAATAATATCAAACAAATATAATAAATATCATAAACAATGTACTTAATATTTAATTCACAGTTGAGAAACCATTGCGGAAAGATAACTTACACTGTACTTATGTACCCATACCTAGATATTAATCCTGCTTAATTTATTTATTCCTGCTTAATTAATAGCAGCCTTTTTGAATTTTTTAATTATAAACTTAAACTTTAGCCAGCAACATTTTTGAATTATAAACTTAAACTTAAAGATTAACTATTTTTGTTTATCGATAATATACAATAAACAATAAACGCAAAAGTGTGCAAATTTTATATGGATGTTTGTTTGATACAATGATAAATAATTATAGTCTAGTATAGAACAGCATATAGCATATAAGTAGTTTACTTTTTACCCTGGTACTGTGGGGTTAAGCTTCTGGTAGAAAGAAGTAGGTATTATAAAACTATATTAAGCGCATATATCAGAGCGTTTCAGAATTGTTGTTTATGGCAAACTAAACGTCTGTGATAAAAGAGTAATGTGTTCCAACCAAACCCTATAAAACTATGGCAAGTACTTACCATAGTTTTAGTACTTTTAAAACGTCCAAAAACATTAATGAATAGTAACAGTTTGCAACAGCGGGTGTAAAACTATTATTATTAGATAGTTCACAATATGTTCAAACTTACTGCTACTCTTAAAACCTAAAGCTATAACAGATTTTGTGTCTCTGGTTTACAAATTGACTGTTTGATAAAAACTAATTTTATTCTAAGTATTTTATGCAAAAATAAACTTTTATACTATACTTACTACAAAGATATTTTTCTGAAATGCTTTTCATATTCGCTTTACATCTAGGTAGAGCGGATCTGTTGCATTTTAGAAAAATATTTCGTGCTGAGTTTCATTCAGTCCTTTTTTTCTTACAATGCTGTGGACTTAAAGCCTCTTAATAATTTCATCCATATTTTTTAAAAATAGCTCATCTCAGGCTTGTTATTATATTTAGAGATTTGTTAATTCCAAATTCTACGTGTGAAAAAAAAAATTGAACTATTGCGGTATTGCTCCTATTTTCATGCAGTATATCTATTTGCATGTCGGAAGCAAGATTTGAAAGCAAGCTATTATTCTCGTACATATAACTATGTCTGTTTTTATTATGGAGAAATAGTTCAAAACGAGTCATTTAGTAGTCACTTTCAAAACTTTGTTTTATAAGTAACTAACGGAAATTCACAACTTTATTCCATTTCTAACTCATTATATTTAGTGTTAACAATGTAAAGTTGATTCGTAATTAAAAGGAAAATATGCAAATTAAATAAATCGTTCATGCCAATTACTAAAAACTGGTTTATTTATATTATTGTCTTCTAAGTATTGAAAAGTCAAAAGAATTTGTTCACTACAATGGATACTGTCATAAACCAATTTTCTACACAATTTAATCAAAACTTCGTTACCAATAGATAAATATAAAACAAAAAAAGATAAAAAAATAATGATATAAAATACGTAACTTACCGGACTGAACATTGTACAATTTGCAATTTGTTTTCAGAGTGTAGCGTGTGCGCAGCGGCAGCGGCCGCAGCTGCAGCAGCAGCGGCGGCGGCTGCATCGTGGGCAGCCAACCACGCGGCAGAAATCAGCAAGGCATCCTCCCCCATCGTCATCACAAATGGCACTCTTAACGGAACACCACAATACAATGGAACCTGTAAGATTCAACACAAACCTTATTTATTTATTTAATAAGTTATGAATCAATTTTAAAATGACTAAAATATTTCTTTGTATTAAAAGTTCAATGGTTCACAGCCAGTTTATTCAATAATTTAGATTCTATGCTATAAATTAAAGCAGTCCTCAACCATTGACTCTATTATACAAAGATATTTTAGTCATTTTAAAATTGGTAGAGTGCCATTGCATTTTCGACCCCTGACTGTACACAATACAACAATTAGGTACAAAGGCACATGCACATTTCTTCAGGAATCTCTTCCAGCAGGCCCGTTATGGGAGTGTTAGAATAAGCAGTCAGTCTACATAACTATGTAGACTGACTGTGTAAACACAATAAGGAAAAAACAAAAACAATAAGAATTAATAAACTACCTTTTAAATCCTGACCCGAGGTGCATACATTTCGATTGCAGTCTCGTAGACCTAATCTTATCTTATCCCCATGCCCAATCCCCAAATAGCCGCAACTTGTACTCCTCTTGGTCAGAGCCGATTTTTTACAATTAGACGATACGCTTCAACGTCATCGACCTATTTAATAAAATAAAACGAATGTCCTTAAATTGAACACTCACTTTAAGTGAAGACCATGTAGCAGGGATTAACAAACTGCTCTTTGTATATAATATATGCATGGGGACAAACAGTGAAAAGTGCATAGGAAATGAGAGGTGTGCCTATACCTTCAGTTATAAAAATTTGTAACGTTATGTTGCTTTGTTATATTCTCGTCTTATTTTACGAATTTCTAAAACAGTAATAAGATTGATACAGAGATATACATGTAGTTTTCGCAGTTTTTGCACTTTGCAATTCGCATTTGCGTAGTAAGCGTAGCAGAGGCGTAGAACCGGTAGACGCGTAGCAATGCAGATTAAGTTCGTAGCACATAGTTTAGTTATTCGTAGATTTAATTTAGATAAAAAAAAATGTTTAAATTTTTTAAACCGTTGAATCGATACATAATCTGTTCAATATTACTTTTCCGACACTCAATGATGATTGAACAGCTCCTAAAGTTTATATTAATTTTTTTTTTATGCAAATGATCGGCAAACGATTAGACGGATTACCTGATGGTAAGCAATCAGCGCTGCCCATGGACACTCGCAACGGAGTAGTTACGAGTACGTTGCCGACCTTTTAGGGATTAGATTGGAGATTTAGGGATTGAGGAGAGATTGGGGGAGGGGAAGGATTGGGCCTCCGGTAACCTCACTTACACGGCGAAACACAACGCTGTGGTTATTTCACGCCGGTTTTCTGTATGTATGGATAGTTTAGGAAATCACCAAATCAAATTCTTCTTAGGTACCTATATGTTTTTGGCCTGAACAATACTGTGGTACTTTTTTATAAAACACAAATTCTTGTACTTTAGAAGTGATGTAGATAAATTAAACGTTACAGTTTAGATTAAAAGTAATTCATGTGGTATAAGATTTTTAGCAATGTCTCTTTAAAGATAAACAAGTATTATAAAAAACAATATATTTTTTTCGCTAAATATGTGTTTTAAAAAGGGTTTTACTCGGGATGGTCAGAGTATTTCAAGTATTCGTGAAACAAATCCTCACTTCAGAGGAAATAAAACCGTATACGTATCTATTTTATATTTGAGGGTGCCACTTGGCACCACCCCTCAGTGGGAAACGCCTTCAAAGCAAAATTAACATTATACGGTGGGGTCTACCGCCGGACCCTCTTGTTCAACATTCATTTTAAAGTTCCTAAACGTCAATATAGATGGCGGTATGGTATTTACGATGCTAATGCCATCTACAGTTAATATGACGAACTAACAAATTAGGATCCACACCATGAAATATTTTTGTACGCAAGTTAAACGCTAGATGACACTTTAAGCTCATTTGGTTGGTAGTTGCGCCTTTATTAAGTCAACATTTCTTACGAAATTCATGCTTTTTGTTACAATAATATCAAAAAATATTATGATTTTATTATTGTAAATTATTTAAGAGAATTGGTTACAGTCAGTTGAATCAGTAGATATTTTACTGAATAAACCAAGCGACTCTAGCAAATACTACAACCATTTGAATTATTAATATTTCCACCGAGTTTATATGTTGTATTTGATTGACCTTTATTGTAGGTAGAACGATCATAAGTAGCTGTGGTTATCGTTTCAAGGTTACCAAATTATTCCTTTAAACCCTTATAATCTACGAATACATTACTCATCTAGTTTTTTAACATTTTCCTTACAATATGAATCAGATTTCTGCGAAGGGAAGAGTAACAATTGATTAATCAGTTAGTTTTAATTTAAATCGAGTAATAGGAATTAAAATCTTTTACTAGCTCTTGCTTGGGGTGAAAAGTTCAGAGAAAGTGAATACGACAATTGGTCGTGTTACATTATATCGAAAACTAGTTTTTCTTGTGAGACGTCTATTGTCAAATATTGTTGATGCATAATCATACGTGGATTAGATTATTAACAATGGGTCCGGTCGGTCAGGTCGTCAGTAAGTGACGTGACCGAAGGGGACTCCCTCTAACCGCTGGGGAGGACATGGTCAAAATTTCGCCATACACGGTTCTCACCAGAAATACAGAAAAGCATGCGTAAAATTGTCACACTACTAACAATGAGAATCAAGTGTTCGTAATGAATTTAACACAAATTCAGAGGGGATAGGAGATTTAAATAATCAAGTGAATTCTTTATTCATTGATCTGTTTATTCTACTTTGTGACATTTGTATGAGCCTGGGATACTTCTTTCACTTTCCTCCCTTTACGAAATTGTTGTGTCGATTTGTTATATCCGTTACTTTCATCAATGAAGCAGCTTGCAATAATCGTATGAAGCCTTTATACATAGGTACAATTGATCACCAATTTAAGAAAAATGCTTGGTTATTAGGAGAATAATTATAAGTAAACTTTTATAAATAAAAGATAGTTTTCAAAAATGAGGTTCTTTCAGAAAGTTAAATATGAAACCTGTTGGATTTTTTAACTTAAAGAATTGTTGAAATAATATTCTTAAAATGAAGAAACAATGGAGATAATTAATTCCTTCTTTCTTAGAAAGTTTAAAAATCCGCATGAAACTCCTTTGGTATAGCGGTTGTCCATGGGCGGTTCTGATCACTTACCATCGGGTGACTACCCGTTTGTCTCTATTACATAACAAGATACATTCAATAAAACTAATTCTACATGAAGTTTCTTTTCTAACAGGATTCGATTTTATGCAGCAAATAAACTTAGATGCAAACTCTGCATTCCGATCAAACTTATCTCACAAAGTCAAAAGTGGCGGTGACACAATTATGTTGGGTACGAGATTGGATTATTTCATTATCACATGACTCAAAAATTAATAAAAGAATCCGTTATATTTAAGTCGTGTCCTACTAATAAACAAATTTTCCAAATGCTTAACATAAAAATATTACATCTGATCAATGCTTTAAATAATTCGATCACAAAACCTCCATTTCATCTGTCTTGATTTTTTAAACTTATTTTGAACTGCGCATTAATTATTATTACGCATAATTCCGCTTAAATATAATCACATAATATCATTAACATTTATCACGAGGGTGAATGTTTTAACGTTAACAAACATTTAATTATAGTCTGTAGAGAAGCCCACAAAAGCTCACTCAACGGTTTTTCAGCACAAACTTTTTTAATACCTACCTCCAGAGGAAATCGCAAGTCACACTTTACGTAACCCAGTTTATTTAGTAACAATTCTGGAAATAGCATAACAAAAACGATATATCGTTGCAGGATATAAAAACAAAGATACTTTGGAACTTGGTCAGTCCCAAAAGATCCCTTTTGTGGTCGGTCGTACGCGGCTTCTATTGAGAATATTTTTTGTTAGGTTTGAGGATGTTGTTGGGTGTTTGTAAGCAATATGTGAGGTAGGTAGTAGGAGCTCGCCCTGCAGCGCGCTCGTGTCTGTTGGCAGCGCAGGGAACGCTGTGCTGTTCGCTGCGCGCTGCGCCGCCGCCGCGCTAACAAGTGACACAATTTGGGTTGGGGTAAAGCGGCCGGCGCTTTCGGGCGGTGTACACGTTTCGTTAGCTTCTCTATTTTAAAAACTACTTGCTTGACGATATCCGGGAAGGGACCGACCGCATCACCGCGGCGTCGACTCTACACCACTGTCACTCATTTTCGATGCAGTCGACCTGCGTACGCGTCGTTGGTCGCTTCGCGCGCACGCGCGTCCGCCTTTATGCACTTAACACTTTTTGATAGTTAATAAGATTTAAACGTGCAAAGGTAAATGAACTTATTATAAACAAAGTGCCTTTTTTCAATCAGAGGATGTACGATACGCAGAGGTGATATTTGTGGTGCCAGTTGATAATTTTTAGTTACCATGAGCGGGAGGGAAGGCGGAAATGCAGTTCCCTCTTCAAGTAAGTAAACTTAAGATATTATTTTCTTAAAAAAAATTCAAAGTTCCCGTTTCTTTTATGATTTACATTTTTATGGGATTACAATATACTAGAGCTACCTACTAATAAGTCACATCAAAAAGTTATTTTATGTGTTGGAACTTGACATGGCCCTTATCGAACGGATGTGTTGTACGCAGTGCCCAGGGAGGCAATCACAAACAGTTCATCATTGAAATTATTCAAATTGAGGTTAATAGAGTCTCGTTTTACTGATGTCACACATATGTGTGCCATGTTTACTGAGTTTAAAGTTGATCAACAACAAGATATACTAATTATAAATTCGTACTTCCTAATTAGAGAATGTCTTGTATAGCATGACGTCACGTTTTACGCAATAATTTTGTACATTTAATAAAATAATTGATATTTATTTGAGGCCTACAGGCTACTTTAAAACATGGGAGTTAAGTCCAGTTTGAAATGAATTAAAAACGAATTGCGTATATTCATGAATGGACGTAGGTACCAGCAGTCCTTGTATAACATGAGTATCAAGTATTGAATTGGAAACATGTGACGTGAACATTTTATCAAACAAGGTCTACGCATCGAGCAGTTAATTGTTTACTATTCCTACGATACCGTTTTAGTTGCTCGCATGCGTGCTGCCTGCGACTTGGCGCCGCTGCCATGCCGTTTTCGACTGTAACAACACTGTTATAAGTTTTATACTACCAAAATACTTTCTATTTATATTTATCTGTGTGAGTGATAAAAGCTTGAATGTGTTTAGGTAAGCCGACTGCATTTTAGAAGGACCTTAATCTCGCTCCCCACTCCTCCTGCACTACGTGTTTTTGTCGTCGACATACCAGAGTTCTAGTGAAGAACGCACTATCGATATTTTTATGCTGATTAGAATATTGTTTACATTCTTACGCAACAACATTATACGGGCCGAAGTGTTGTAGCACATCCTCAATATGCGTGTACCTTTAGAGTTTGTATTTACATTTTGCGTCGTAGTAGTTCCAAGTAGGAAATTATTTTTATATGGAAAACGTAACAAAGTTATGTCAAATCGGTAAAATTAATTTGTTTGTACAAACCATATACACAAACAAGGTGAGAACATTCTTTCAAACAGGAATTGCCATAGAGAGTTATTCAAGTACCATCCGGAATTTTTAGAAAGTCGATGTAAGTGAGGTGACGTCCCTACGGCAGGGTCCGAGTTCGTAACCAGTCAATTAAATCCGAATGGTGGTACATTCGGCTGTCTCTTTCCCACCTAGTTCAAGATACCAAAGCACAAGCGCCACTTGACGATGATTCACGTTGAAATTCCATACCTACGATTGATAACAGCAAAAAGTGGTGAATGGCACAATGTTTTAGGTCATTTCATTTGCTTTCTGGACATGCGTCCTACAATTATATTGGTATGCGTTTTGTTTACTACACGTGTGACTTGTTCCATTTAAATAATGAATGAGCATTTGAACTTTGATAAAATGTTGCCACTATTTCCTATATGGAACTTTATTTGGTTAAAGTTATAGCATTGTATATTGACACAATGACTTCGTATTAATAAATACATAAAAAAATAATAATGAATTCAAAACAAAATTACTGTTAAGCTAAATTTGAATGAATAAGATACCTATTCATCGTATTTTTTTTTTAATAATTGACGTCTTTGATTGGAAGTGTAGGTATATACCTACTTAGAATTTTTAATTAAAATGGTAAGATTTGGCTTCGATAAGAGTTTAATTATTTGGAAAAAGTTTAAATGATGTAATTAATGAACATAGTGTATAAGTTTCCTCCTACGCGCGTCACCAGCGCTGCATTTGATGGTTGGTGTGTCGCTCTCAGCGTGTGATACGAATCATGGGCCCGCATCGGGGCTGGCAGCCGTGATCACATAAAAGCATTAGCGACTACGGAATATGATGTATATTATAAACCCATTAAATAATTCAATACTGAGATAAATTCACGACAAAAGCTCTTTTATGTAAACTGTGCTCCGTGCGGGTATTAAAGATGGGTCCCACTTTTACTATACAAGCTTACGCTTTCTTCAATACTTTGTTTACATGAATACTAAAGTAATAAATAAATATTTTCTTAGTGTCCCTTCCACATTTCGTAATGGCTATTTATATGCACATAAGTGGAAAATTTTTATTCAAGATATAGGTACCTATATAAACGGTAGACCTGTCATGCCGTTGAATGAATTTAAGACTTAATAAAGAAGTAGATTTTGTAAAGATGATCGACTATTACGCTCTCATTTAAATACCATTGAGAAATATGTCAAATACGCAATACGAATAGACTGAGACAACAGATGCGTGCGTCAACACGTGTTCTCTTATTGACTAAACTTTATTTCATTCATAGAAGTGATCATTTACCTCGTGTCGTAGATTAACGAAAATATTGTTAAGACATATCATTTACAAAATATACCGTTTACAGATAAACAAAATTCCTAGATGGTTATTTACAATAATCCAAAATTACCACACACAGGTTTATATACAGGTTATACAGGTTGTGTTGAGAAACTTCTATGCTGATGTATATTGTAGGAAACGTATACCTACTTACTACGTAAACGAATATAACAAGGCCCGGGGTGCGTGCATGCAACAAATGTTCCACTTAAAATATGCGTAGAATTTCCCCTTCCTGCTTTTAAAATACCACGCGCTTATATTTAAATTCCAGTTTAAAAATAGTGCACCTAATCGCTTTAGGAACTGACAATAAACCAGAAACGTCACGATCTCAGTCTCGTGTTTTGTTATTGAAGTTAGCCAAACATTTCTCGTTATATTCGTAGAAACTGGGACATTTTAATCTGCACCACAACAGTTCGTTGCACAACAGTTGTGGTAATTTGATACGAAGTAGAAGAGGCAAAGTAATGGTTAAATATTTGAAGAGGCGCGTCAGTGTTGCATTAGACGAATACCTTGTAATGCATCTGTTGCATAGAAATTCCGGCGCATGTTAAGGTGTAGCGTGGAATGTGCGTAGTTGTGGCGGGGCGCGGCGGGCGGGTGCGCGCTCCATGCTGAGTAAACAAAACTACAAAACAGGCACATAGTACAGCAGTCGGATGCGCCGGAGTGCTACCTCACTCGGTACATATACGTATATAAATAACGTGCCGCTACCGCACTGCCATACCACTGTCTACCATATATTGTAGTATTTGTACTACACGGACAACTGCAAACTTCATATGGCACTCTTCATATTTCACTTGGGAAAGTACTGAACTCGCCAGCTTTTGAACGTCGGCAACCTAGAACTTTTTGTTGATTTCTAAGTTACTCAAAACTACATGAAAAATGTGAGCAAACGAAATTTACAGGTTTATGAAACATTTGTAGGTCGATATATTTGAATCTAGTTTATTTTGTTTTAAGATATAAACCCAAAGAAAATAAATTTTTACTGCAAGATTTTTTCATGAAAGCATTTAAGTTTTTCAACAATTTACTTCAACGGGTAAATCTTATGTCTTGAACACCACATGACATATACTCGTTTCTTAAATAAACAATGAGTTCACTTTAATAAATATTTAAATACTAAAAAACAAGTCTCCTGTCCTCATGGAAAAAGTATATTTTTGTAACGGCAAACGTTTAAGATACAACTTGATTTGTACATACTAAGCTGGCGGCCAATTGATTTTTAATATGAACGTGTTCAATGGGTTCTAAGTTATTTAGAAACAAGTCAAAAAGCTTTCTCATTAATGTGGGATAGGGAATAATAAATATTGAGTATGGTGAACAAGGTGAGGTAGTGCGGCGCTGTGGCGGCGAGGCCGTGAGGTGCAGTGTTACGGCAATGAATGAAAAAGGTACCAGAAACTTAACCTAAATACCGAACATTCTTCCAGTCCCCGCCGCCGTCGCCACGTGTGCTGCCACCACGCTTTTACCGCTGCCGCCGCCCGAAATAATATGCTTAGCTTACATACCAACACATGGAAATGTATATCGAATTAGCAAACCCACCAATAAATTCTCATATAACTAACATTTGAGTAAGCCTCCGCGATACTAACGCTCGATTGATGAGAGAGCGCCGTGAGAACTTTAGCTTGTTTTATTTAAATGTTGGTTTGTTATGGTCTAGATTGGACTCGTATAATGCATATTTATAATGCTGACCGTTTATAAAATACTTTCGGTATCATTTATAACGACTTTATAGCTTCTATAAATTCAAGATATTATTTCTATGGTAACTAATGGTGAAGTAAAGGAAATGAATAGCCTAGTTTTTAACATAAACAACTTTGGTATCTCAGACTAAGTCATTCATTACTGAGAAATATTAAAATGTTAGGTGTTAATCAATACGAGTAGGTATGTGAATCGTTGTTTGTCATCTGAAGTATTTCCGGATTTTTCTAACAAACTAGTTAGTCATTACATATATATATTATTCAAGGAAGTAACGTTACATTAGTCATCGCCACAATTGATGTTTTTCGATAGTTGATTTACTAACCAGTAGGTAGTAACCCAAGTTACATAACTCGCGTATTGTTGAGTTAACTTTAGGAATGTTTCATTACTTCCGTCAAAGTTCCGACTGCCTGGCAGATGATTCTACAAATGCACCTTTTAAGTTTCTACTTTTTAATTATCGCGTTGATAGCCTATTCGAATATTGAACACGACGAATTAATAGCTACGGTATTAAAAGAGGTTGTCTTTTATTTAATTCGGTTCCCACGTTATTTGTTGTCTCGGTGCCCGATAAGGGGAACAGTATACCCTTTCTTCGTTCAGGATACGATTGTAGGCCCTTATTTATTGCTAATAGATTTCCGAACGTTAAATGTCTATGCATGTATTTAGAAGCGAGGGACTACGACCCACTTATAATGCAATTTGACTATCCGTGAATTCTTTACGACCTTTCTATTCAACAAAACATGTTAATGCGACGCCGGCACTATTTATTTTATTTACTGATAAAGTTTACAGATAATTTTTGTAACGTGAGGATACAAATGATGTCGGCTGGTCGGATATTTATTTACATTTCATTTTGTAGGATAATATTTTATTTCTATTTGATAAACTAACGAATATTTTGTTAATGTGTGCGTAAAATATGCAAATGAGGTCCTTTTATCGGTCCGTCGAAAAAGCTACGTAGGTATGTGCCGGAAATCCAACTAAAGTGTGTGTGAGGGAACTAAGTTGTGAAAAAACTCAATTAGATTGTAGATTCCTTAACAGGTAAGGGGAGCGGTGCGGCCACGCACACGCGGGGCTGCGAGCGTGGCGGGCGAGTGAGCGAGTAGCGGGTGGAGTGGTGGTGGAGCTGTAGTAACGGAGTGTATGTTGCTTGCAGGTGCAGCGGGCGCGAGCGGCAGCGCCGTCATAGGGGTGACGCGCCGCGGACGGTGTAAGTGGTTCAACGTCGCGAAGGGCTGGGGGTTCATTACCCCTGACGATGGCGGGCAAGATGTTTTTGTGCACCAGGTGATTGTTATCATTATATTACACGAAACATGCACGCAACGATCATAAGTAAAAATAGAACGAACGCAAAATTCAGATGTAGGTACCTATTATCTACGTAGTTAATTAAATCGCCCCGTTCTCTACAATAGTTAAAATAGGAAAATAAATCCATTCAGAAAAAATATTGTGGCGTATCTAGCGGTTGACCCGATAGTGCGCTTATTTGTTTGCTCGGCTTATCAAGGCCGGATGTTTTTTCTATACATTTGCGCCACCAAACTTGTACTTCGTTCGGCTGCAGCGACGCTAGCGGTAAAACTTATATTAGGTCAAGACTACGTTACTGGATACCGATAACGTTGATTTTTTTCTCATAAGCGATAAGTAAATTTATAGCCCATTGAAGGGACCCACAGTCAATAATAATAGTTAGCATGAAGTTGTTATTTTTATACTGAACTAGCGGGCCGCCTCGCAGCGCCGCTGTCACACGCACAAATATTATTACAACTTTCAGACTACTCGAGATATTATTTACTTTGACAATTCTCCTTACTTTTTGAACTTGTAACTGACTTATGATGAAATGCAGATTTTGAAGGATATCTATGACCACAGATGCAGTCTAAATGACTATGACACTTAAGGTTAAAACAATATTGAAATCTAAGCTCTCTGAATTGATACTAAAAAAAGTTAAAAGACGGTGTTTGTCCATTTTTCCAGAGTGTCATTCAAATGCCAGGATTCCGGTCTCTTGGTGACGATGAGGAAGTTGAGTTCGAATGCAAAGCGTCCGACAAGGGGCTCGAGGCAACGCGGGTGTCAGGTCCTTCATCTGTGGACTGCCAAGGATCACATCGACGTCCACTCGCCAAGAAACGGTTCAGAAAGATACGGTAATCTTTGCTTTAGTTGCTAGTTTGGGTAGAGGTATCAAAACCCCGTATGAATGGACGATACTCCTTTGCTTGCAGTGTTGCATTTTTGGCCATATTTCTATTTGTAATTTCATTTCACAAGCTTATCAAGCTCACATGATACAATGCTACTTGTGTGATGTTTTCTTGATGCTTATTTTAGTGCTTTTCCATCAAACGAGACAATTCTCACCCTTCAAGATACTACTAATGCTACTACTGATAAATATTTGATTTGTGCAACTAATAAGAAGTGTACAACAGCAAAATGTTGTGTAAACGGAAGCTAGTTAGAATCTTTGTGCTTTTTAATTACTTAATGGCAGACAAATTTGCATTTGTGTTGAATTTTTTTTTTAATTATACCAGGTTTTTGCTTAGGGAAAATTAATAGTTATATTACGACCAAAAAATAATTTTGCTAACGCTTAAAATGCGTTGAGCGTGAGAAGGATTATTGGTTGGAGTTCTTAATTGATTAAAAGCTCTTTTCTATGGAGAACATGATTTAGAGGTTAGTTCAAAGTAACGTATGAAAAGTGTACTGTAAGTGATTTTAGTTTATCGATAATATTATAAAAATATGCATATTTAGAGTTTAAGTGACCCTAGCTATTGAAATGCGAGTCTCGTGTCTTGTTCGCAGTTTCCTAAATATAGCCTTTATTCATGTAAAAAGATACATTTAAAATATTTAAACAATTTGTATAAACCTATGTAGTTTTACTCTAAATAATTTCACATTAATCTCTCACTTCTTAATCCCTTATTAATGATACAACCTATAAAAGCTTACAAATAGTCCACATGTTACTTTATACTATGTTAAGCGGAGTGGTTAATAGTTTTTCTAGCACCCAATATCTCAGTGATAACCGTAGTTACTATGATAGAGTACTCGGTCACATGATAAAATTATTAACAACTAGACTCTGTATCCTTCTACTGTAAACTACATGTGTTACGTGTGTGAACAGTTATCAAACTATTAAACAATTTCATGAAGTACATAATAGTCAAACGATAACCTATTGAAATTAATATCGAACGATTACGAAACTATTTCACTATTTAATTTTAATTTTAGTCATTAGTTGGTATTGACGTCATTAGTGTTAAACTACTATAGTTTTGTACAAAACGCATTTCTAATTAAAGATCAGAACATTGGAACTGCAATAACGTCAAAATACACGTAGCTTCGTGTTTCATTATTATCTAATATATTCTATCTACTTACTTGATGCAGAGTCAAATACTAAATCGGAGGGTTATCGCTATCTAAGTATGGGAAAATATCAAACCTATGAAACTACCAAACCGTACTTTCTTGGAAATATTGTTGAAATCGTTTTAACGACACCGTGTGGACAGATGCTAGATAAAATTCTATTTTGAGTTATGTTCGTAGATAAGGGCTAATCGAAACATTTTAATTAGGTATAAAATGCAAAGTTGTTATTACTTTAAATGTTATATTTGTTTGTTATATTGAAAGTTTTGAAGAAAATGTACAAAAATACGTTATTGTGTAACGAATTAAAATACGAACAATCTTCATCTTTGTTCATTTCAAAAACACATTCGATTTGTAAATTTAATTTAACTTGTCGATTGATGATCAATATAAATCTAGAAGTTAAAATTATAAAACCTGTTGTCTGTTCATTTGGGTTAAGAAAGTAGTTTTTAAACAAAAGCTAAGGCATTTTTGTCAGATCTACTTTTTATTTCAGAGTTAAGTTTTCATTTAGTTTCTAGAAAAGAAACTCTTAAACTTGTGGATGTTTTGAGAGCTAAGCTTAACTACACTTTGTTGCTTCAAATGTTTTAAGCAGTAGTAACACGCAAGTAGCACGCAAGACATTGTGTAGCGAGTCTTTCATTGGCCGTGCTATATTTGATTGCTAACAATTTTCGTGAAACTAGATCTCATAGAAACAATGTTATGGTTTTCAGTTGCTATAACTGCGGCGAGTTCGCTAACCACATAGCGGCCAAGTGCACCATCAGCCCACAACCAAAGAGATGTCACAACTGCAAGAGCGAGGATCACCTTATCGCCGACTGCCCAGTCAAGGTAATTCAAAGGACATTATACCTTGTAACGGTTACTACTGTTATTGGTGTATGTAGCTCCTTCCACTGGTAGTTGAGGATGATTCTATGGCTATGCATCAAGCATAAAGATTCGTACTGATACTGTCCAATATATTATTATAACAAAGACGGCTAGTATATCTATTTAGACAAATTAACAGAAACCAAAACTCCTTGGTCAACCTTATATTGTGCTCGTATTCTCATTTAGTACTTTTACAACAACAACTTGAAAGTCAGTCAGTTACAACAACAATTTAAGGAACCAATTCAAAAAGTAAAAAATTGTTCCCCGATCTCACCTACTATACTATTAAATATAGACTTGGTTATAATTTACCTAGTGCTTTATAAATTTAAAACGTTCATATATTTGCTACAAAAAGCAGTCCTTTGTGCACTTTACTTCAATGATGACTTATTCTAAGAGTTCTATTAAATAGACATGAATTAGGTCATACTAGTTAGTTTTACTGAAAATTGGACACATTGTTTCCTTCTCAGGAACTCTGCTTTACTGTATACATAATAGTACTAATTAGTTATTCTGCGAATATGTTCTATTGGCATCAGGTAGGAAGCATAGTGAGTAAAAATGTATGTTATTTTCAAGTCACTTCAATATGAAATACTATGTGTAAAATGTTTATTTACGATGTAACTAGGAAGATTTGATTAGACATATTATGAAGGCAAAGGTTTCAATCTACTAAACAATTCATGTTTAATTGCGTCTTTAAAAATAATAATCGTACAGTTAGGATCCGTAGTTTTTTTGTTTTCAATGAATTTAGTATTTTTTTGTTTTTGTTACAGTTGGAAAAAAAGAGGGACGACGCTACCAAGAGTAGTTCGAGTGGCTCTCAGGGAGGCCAGCAGGACAGTCCACCACATTCGTAACTCAATACACACATCAACTGTATTCCAAGACCCCACGAAACATTGTAGACTATCTAACGGCATTTCTTCGCTCTTACTTTAACTTTGTTAAAACGTTTTATAAATTTAGAAAAAAGCTTATTTCCGTCTAGATACTCCATTCCAAATCGAAACGACTTAATTGAATTAACAGATTTTACCACAAAAATATTTTTTAACTGCCAAACTACATATGTATAACCAAAATGTATACTTACATAAGAACGCATCTACCTCAATATAGTTACAGTTTAGCTATACAAATAAGTACAAGACTGATCGGTACAAATCCATAATTCTAGTACAAACTATACAATATATACATTTTACATGATAATTTTAATGATAGTAATATTACAACCTAAGTTTGCAAACGTAACGTAAGTACAAATTTTATGTGTTCGAGTGACCTTAATTATTTTACGTATATTGGTGTTTATCCAAAGTTAAGTGTGTGTTTATATTATTATTATTTTGTTGCTATATTATATTATGACAAACTTTATGTTAGTTCTAGCTCATAAATAACGAAAAGTTATAAGAAGTATTATAACTGGCTATGAAGCAAACCATGAGGGTTAGACATATGCTGACAGACAAACAGTTTCAACTATTATGTCAATATCAGAGATAAAAACAATTATAAGATATCTGACTGCCTCGTTGCTGAGCACGAGGCCCTAGGTTCGATTCCCAGGTCGTGCAAAGTATTATTATGTTTTTCAATTTCGAAATTCAAAGCAGAGGCACGAAGTCTGGATTTGGTCCTGCGTGTGAGCACATACATATTATTGCAATATGGAAATAACATCAGTGGTGGAAAATTGAAGTGTATACATACGTCTTGTATACACTTCAAAGGGTCCACTTTTGGGAAAATATAGGCATGATGTTATATTAAATTGAGAAAATCTGGAGTACCTATATCGTCATAAAAGTACAAAACCTTAAAGGTAGGGCTGAACAGAGGGTAAATGTAAGCTCTGTAAAATAATGTTCGACGAAGTAATTTAGGAAAGAAAGATATCAATTTTCGTTTGTAAATTTTACAAATATATGCAATGTAAACGTTGAAGTTAATGTGCCAAAGTCAAATTAACATTGTTGCAATAATTGTAAAAAAATATTTTTAATTAAGTGTGTAGATTCTGTACGAGATGTATTTCTATTACTTGCCCTAGCATACGAGTGCTTTATTTTAAACAGATAACCGAAAGTACAAATTTAATGTTTCTACGAATATTTTAGATTAACTTTGTCATGTATTATAATTATATACATTTGCGACTTATGTTTGCTCAAGAGCCTAATCATTATTAAGTAGAACAAGTTTTGGGAATAGTGTGGGTACTTAAATTTCATCCTACGTTTAATACAGTTCGGTATCTAAGTGTTAGTGTATTCACAGTCAAATGAATGTAAATCAAGATCACCAGATACTTCTAGACTCATGTTGAGCACAGCATTTAGGTTATAAAAGTTTTCTAAAATTCAGCTGAAAAGTAAATGCACCAAATTTGAAGTAAAAACGGTTCAAAACTTCACCTTAATATAGAAATCTACTTAAGTAAAACTAAATGTCTTGCCTGGAAGTTTTTTCCATTCAAATAACGGATAACTAACAGCATACAATGTTTCACAATAACTGTAGCAAACTCTTTTGCACCCAAAGTTAAGTAGCAAATACTCACACAAATTCTGAATATATGACAGGCGACGATTAACTGAAGCAGGCAATTAATTTGTACGTAATACTTAATACCCATCGATGTTAATTTAAGACTTTGTTTTTACACAAAAATCTATTTAGGTAGTTTAGATACATACACGAAGGAGTAATAATCTACCTCAATATTTATGAATATGACTTAGTTATTGTAGTTAAGATATTTTAATGTATTTGTTTTAGGGTATATAACTGACTGTCGTAAAACCAACGTGTTATTAGAATATTCACACAGGCCCACTGAAACTGTCTTCGGTACACTTTTTAATTATAATTTGCACACTACCATAGTTCTTAATTAAAGTTTCATCTACAAGTAATGTTTAATGTATCTAGTTAATAGTATTTAATGTACAACGTCCGCCTGCGTTAGATACCAATGATTTTTATATTGTGTTCGTAGTAATTTTTGTAAAAGTACATATTTTATCTAATAATGTTTAGTTGTTCAAGCCATAGTAAGTTATACACTGAATAATATAGAGGTTCAGTTCGCAGTGGCGCCGAGACATTTTATAACCAAGTTGCAATTTTTAACTATTAAAGTTCTTTTATTAAATCCTTGGTTAAAAAGAAATAAAAGTCATAATTATTGTTAGTCAGTGGTACAGTAAATTAAGCGTATCACATTTTTCTTCATATTAAATTTATCTTACGTTTTAATTGATATTAAAATATCAATAGAAACGAATCAATTTTTTTTTTAGAATTGTTATATATTCAACTATCACGTAATTATAATAGTTATGCTATAGTATGATTAGTCACAGTTACATCACGGTAGAGACAGGTCGGTTTATAGATATTATACAGTACGGGTCTTTTTGCATTTCTTTTTATATAACAGTAGTTTTAATGTAGTTTTAATTTTTAAGATTTTAATGAAAGACTATTTGCAAACATCTACCTCATAATTTAATTACGTTAAATAGAGTCTATTGATAAGTTAATTAACATTTTATAAATTCTAGCTATTATTTTTTTCCATAATTATATCTTTGCTGAATGCCGAATTTCTTTCTTAGAGTTTAAATTTTGTTTTTTTTTATTATTATTCAAAGAAAAATAAATCATTAAAAAAAGTTGTTATTATTTACTACCTCACCTTTTAAAATTTTCAGGACGCTTCTAAATCTATTTACAGTTAATAGGTCCAGAACCTACCTTTGAATTACTACTACTACTTAAATACTAAACAAACGAAATAAGACAACAAAAACCCTTAAACACTTATTAAGTACTTAAACTTTAGCATGGTAAAGAATCATTCATAAAGTTACAAAAGCAAACGTTACTGAATAACTTTTCTTATAAAACTTATTTCCGCAATCATAGGACTAATTCTCATCAATCTGTTCTGTAAACTTACCTCTTAGCATATTATAGAAAGATTCAGACCTCATTATAAGTAAATAAACTAATATAAATGTGAACCGTACCCGTAATTGCATCTACGTAATGAGTTTCTACACAAAATGACCACGAGTGAGTGATGGTATGGTCCTTGGAGAGAGATGGAGAAGCGCGGGGTGCGCGGGGAGCGGTCGGCGCGGAGCAAAGATGTCACGTTTTTCAGCGAAGCCGGGCGAAGATGGGCGCTCGGAGGATGCAGTAGTGCGGGGCCCCCCCTGCGCCCGTGGCCCGCGCCCCGCGCTGACGTAACGCTGCCGTGTCCGCCGCCCGCCCTAGTGTGTGCCGCGCCGCGCTCCGACCGGGCCATCACGCACGCCGCGCCCTGCACGACATCAGTGCTAATCACTTGACGTTTCCCATTTTGCGCTCTGGTTCTGAGCTTAAAAAGTGAATGAGGTGCATGACGAGGTTGTGCATTCGCCTATGTACGTTCTCTAGCTTTTACCTTAATTTTTAATTGCCGTAAATACTCGACACCGCCCTTAAAGGCCGGATGCATCGGTGTCATTCTCAAATGAGTTATCGCGTTGCAAAATCTCGGCTCTTTAATTTTTCTAAGGCGTTGGTAGTTCATGTTACAGAGATTGAAAGTTAATTTATGCAATAATTAACTTACATTGTTGTGATTCTGAAGAGATGGGGCTTTTACAGTTTATTATATTGAAGCGTAGTAGGGAAATGTAATGCATAGAAGTATTGATATTCTTTTTGTAACGAGATTCGTTTGCGGGATAGAGACGTGTAAAATAACGCTAAGAAAACCAAACCGTGACTTGTTTACAGAACAACAAAAAATTGAAATTAATTAAAAAGGTCAATTAAATTCCGGACTGTTTGAGGCACAAGAAATAATATTGAAACTAGACACGACATTTCCCTCTAGGTCTCACGATATCCGAAGTTGTGTAACATAAAACAACTAACCGGATAATAATATCTGATCGATTGTGTTGTCAGCAGAAATGTGTATCAAATAGACCAGCAGTCAGCTCTATACACAGTATTGATAGTTGGATTATAGTACCGATTGATATGATCTTACGGTAAGTTAGATGTGATCGATCCTGACAAGCGTATGTAGTGTAAACATTAAGCTTTTTAGTGATTAGAAGCATCATTTACTGCATTTTATATCTTCGAGCTTCCCAGAACGAGTCATCTGGTGACTGCCTCGTGCATACCATCATCCATCTTCATTGTAGTTTTATTTATTACAGCAGCATCGATGGCCTTGAATTTAGATGAATGTAATCGTTATTTTTACAAACATACATGCAGATATAATAAGTCAATCACTCGAATGTTACTTCATGTCGAATACGTTGTAATGTAAGTACACTTACAACGACACTTGGAGTTAAAATGCAGCGGTGTCTATGCTGAGAGCATCGAGATAGCTAACATATATCGATCTCTATATAATTAGGACCCACTGTCTATTCAGTGCCCAGAGGGGAAGCGGAACATCGATTTTGAAGATCATCACGACTTGTTGCATTAACTACTGCCATGTTTAGTTAATTTGGTTTTTAAACACAACTGGTTCATCATTTCCTTAATTTATTAGTGTTCTAAATCATATTCGTTTTACATTAAACAGTTTAACTATGAGACTTTATAAGTACTATTCTTGTTGTAATATTAATTACAAATGGGTTATACTCGTAAATCGATGATGCTTTAGGTATCTGGGTGGCTATTGGGGATGCTTTTGGATCTTGTAAAGACTATGCCTAAATAACTACCTCTGTTCTCCTTCTTCCAAAGAAATAACATTCTTTATTAATGCTACAAATTATAACTATATACAAAATGTAGTAGAAAGTACGTATATATTTTAATCTAGTTGTTCCATATATTTCACGGAATTGAAACTTCGCGTGTAAAGGCCTTAAAAGGATGGCTCTTGCACTCCACTCTTTATAAAATTAGATTCCAATGCACTTAGTAACAAAGTCTTATAAATGAAAAGAAACTTTAGATACTGCAAAGGAAAATAGTTTCAGCGAAGTCAATTTTCTTGAATTATTAACATTCCTGGTTCGTCCCGAAATCGTAAAAATAAGTTTTGAATGCGCCATCTGCCAGTAAATGGTGTAACTCATGACGTTTTGTTTATATTTTCGGCGGTAGAGGTCGCTGTGGGTAGCATTAATGATTTGTTTAATTCATTATTTGGCAAGAGTGGAGGGTAGGAGAATTATGGGTAGGTTGAAGAAATACGATGTTTTTGTGTTGTATCTTACGAATCGTACGGTATATATCTATGTGGAAGAAACGGGATTAGAATTTTTACGCGATTTTCCCTAAGTAGTTATTTCGATTTTTATTTTTTATCTCATTTATTACGATAGGAGTATATGAAAACTGAACTGAATGTTCAAAAAAAA